TTCCAATGAGGCTGGATATAGGTATATCTAAAGGATCCTAATGCTTGAGATAATACAGTAAGCTGCTAGCTACCTGTAGTTAGTATGCTATGCTTATTTAGTAATCAGAATTTACACTTATTAATTGTATACATCTCACCCACATTGTGCAAGGAGTTGAAATTTCAAGGGTCTGCAGCGGCGCTAAGAGTGACAGTTTGACAGCGCCGAAAAGTTATTCCGCAGGGGTAACTTGCTCCACCACAATGTGACAGGGCTAGGGATACGGCCGTATGGCCTATGCACTGCGTGTGTCCTATGTAGGAACTGCTCATCCGAAAACTCTAGAACTTCATTTGAACGTGCTCCTTGAACTGCCTATTCCACTGTCATCCTGCTCGTATGCTACTATTTATAAGTCCGAAAAAGACGTTATTTTGCGTCTTTAGACACCCCGTTGACCTCCCAGCTTCGTATTATCCTAGCTTCAATAAGCAGTGCCGAGATATCCAAAAGAATAGAATAGAACGACTCATGTAACCTTAACCACGCTCCGGGGATAATCATGTAAGACGTTATAGCAGGGATTCAGGAAGGACCAGAGCGCCAGCCGGTGTACGAAGCATACCCTACTAGGAACACTGAGGCCGTTTCAACTTTCCACGTTGCCACAGGGAGATCTTTTTATCCCATCAACACAATTCGTGCCGAATGTAACTGCTGGGGAAAATACTGACAAGAATGGTCAAGATCTGCAGTCGATAGATAAAGAAACCTGGCACCGCGAAAGCCCCTGATCATCATGTCCAGAATGTAATTGTCAGCATGTGTCATGTCACAGTTAAAGACTTAATGTTTTCCGTCTTCACACTATTTATTGATGGTGCGTCATTTGGTCAGGGGAATGCCCCTATATAGGTGCAGGTGTTTGAAGATAAAAGAAAAGCCTCAGTCCAGGCTGATGAAAATTAGACATGATCATCAGCAGAAGTGGACATGGGAAGCTATTCGCATTTTGAAAGTCTAGACAACAACATTTCTTAAAATGCTTGCTTGCTGAAAAAAGCACGGTAGCAAACTCACCCCAAAAAGTTAAACGTGACTGTGTTGTCAAATCATTCCCCACATTTTCATATGTCTTCACAATTCTGAAGCTAGCAGGGGGAAAAGTGGAATTGCGATAACAACGACAAACTCAAACTCAAAAGCAAAAGCAAAAAGTCTATTGTTGCTTTCCGTTCCAAAATTCGAGACAAGCCACAGGATCGTTCATTTAAGCAAAATGGCAGAAGCACAGCGTCCATTCAAGGTGCTTATTGCAGGCGGTTCAGTAGCAGGTCTCTCGCTAGCCAATGCACTCGAGCGCGCTGGAATCGATTTCGAATTATTCGAGAAACGGGAAGTGGCACCACAACTCGGACAGTCTATCCTGCTACTTCCTTGCACCATTCTGGTTCACGAACAGTTAGGCATAGACAAACCGACTCATGAGGCTGGAATTCCGATCGGGATTCGCGAGCACTGGGATCACGAGGGCAATCTATTTTGCTCTTCAGATGAATTAATCCGTCTCCAGGAGGTGTAAGTGGACATTCGTCTCAGCTTTCGTTCACTGCGAGCAAAAAACGAATGTAAGTCAGCTGATCCTATTAAAGCCAAAAACGACCTGTGTATTTCATAGACCGCAGGATATATCTCCAGAACCTATACAATGGTCTCAATGAATCCTCAAAACCAAAAATCCATGAACATGAAGGCTTGGAGTCATTTACTGAGCACGAAAATGGAGTCACTCTGAGGACCGACAAAGGCAATGTCATTGAAGGCAGCATTATAGTGGGTGCCGACGGTGTGCACAGTCATGTGCGCCAGCAGACAGCGAAGCTGCTCAAGACGATTGATCCCCAAAGTTCCGAGATCATGGCTGCGGGATTCGATAATCGATTCCGGATTCTGACATGCACGTCACGGAACTACTTTATTGATGACCCAAAGAAGCAGTTCTTAGAGAACGGTATTGTTACTAACTCCTATTTCCCGGAGCATGGCGTAGGAGGTTTAGCTGTGGCTGGAATGGATGGAAAGATATTCTGGGCTATTTATATTGCGAACGATAAGCAGATGCCTTATCCCAGCCCGCGATATGGACAGGTTAGTTTGTATTCTATGAACATAACTCAAGAATATTCCAGAAGTGCTAATGATACTCGTGCTAGGCCGATATGGACGAAGCTATCAAGAAATGGGGACATCTTCGCCCCACTCCCGCTTTTACTTTTAACGATCTATGGGCCAATCTCGTTGGCTCCACCATGGTACCAATGGAAGAAGGTGTCTTAGCCACAAAGTGGCATTCGGGCGGGAGAACCGTTCTCGTGGGTGATGCCGTCCACAAAGCAGCATCGAATCTCGGGCTGGGCGGAAACCTCTGCGTCGATGACGTGTGCTGTCTAGTCAACGGTCTACACAGCCTTCTCGAAAGTAACAAGACACCAAGCACATCTGAAATCGTCAAAGTCTTTGAGAACTATGAGCGAGCGGAGCGACCTCGTGCTAATTTCGTTTGCAAGGCCTCGGGGGTGTACGCTGGGTTCGAAACTATGAGTAGGTGGTACTCTAAATTGTTTCAGTTAATCTTTCCATGGATTCCCTCGACTATTAAGATGCGCATCTTTTCTAGGTTTGATAGTAGTGCACCTATTTTGGACTTTTTACCCGTCCCCGCGCCCCGTGTTTAAATTGGATGCTGCCTTCCAAATTCGATAAGACATCTTTAGAGTTTAGAATCCCATAATAGATAATCAAAATCATTTCCCAGAAATCTCATCATGAACTTCGCCTAACGATCGATATGTTGAACAACCAATCGAAAGGTTAAATACATAAACAGCAGGGCTTTTGGCGTAGAATTGAATTGCCAGTCATGCGATTTGACTTTTGCGTCTATTAAACTACTGGTCCTAGCATGGGTCAATTATCAGCATCTTTCACTCCTATTTCTCAAACATTGAGATCCAAGTCTAGTCAAGGAACAGCCTGGAACCAGTACCGGTACTCTTATTTTACTGTGTCCCACTCGCGCGATTAGGCCAGGGAGCCCGCCAGGTCTCCACCAAACAGTCCTTCAGCCGCCTCACAATTCGATGATCATCGTCATCCTGAGGTACATTCCCCAATTGATCTCCCAATTCCCAGCTCTGGAGCTTTCGATAAGTCAACGGCAATTGCAACGCATAATCCAACCAATTCACTATTATTTCACTCACGAATGTTCTGTATAGCTATCCAAGCCATTCACCAAGAAGGAGAATGATGAATTTCTTCCAGTCCTAACACACACTCCAAAAGGTACTGTACTGTTTTTTCAACGGCCACATTCAAATCCAGGAGGATCTGCCCGTTCCCTTGGCTCCAAGTGCACACCTCCGAAAACTATTTCTCCCTCAATTCAGGACAAAATGCAATGGACATAGGAGCATAGTTTACAAAGCTCTATATTTACGATAGAAACCCAGATCGAGAGAACCCGCGGCAAGTTTTCATTGAATAAAAATAAACGAGCACCCTCAAGTATTGGCCATCGGCTATGGCGTGGATAGCAAGTAATCGATAATTTCCCTGGAATGCTTGGGGATACGAGGCTTCTTTTCTCAAAGAATTGTAGACATCATAAAATGAGCCTCACCCAAGTGCGACATATCATAATTCAGGGAGATCTCTGGCCTCGAAAGTAGGAATGCCCTAGATCTATCCTTTGAAATTTCCGTTCGCCCCCTTCATTTAACCAGATTACTCTGGTTTGGGTTTCTTGAGTTGCAACAAAAGCCTTCGAGACAGGAAAGATGCAATATTGCCGAAGGAGGAGAAAAACGCTCGGAAGTCGAGCATATATCCTGATAAGTACGAACTTCAAGAGAACAAGTGTAGGGCACAGCACAATCGAACACCATGAAAAGCATTCATCTACAGTAGTGTTCGCTTGAACCAAATGGACTATTCTCGTGTAGAGTATCTTTCCAGTGAAGCGTAGAGTAAAAGGAGTGATGGATATCTTGGAACTACCTAGATCACAATGGCACGCTGCAGAGTATTATAAGTGATTTCAGTACTCTTCCGACAAGCCATGTGGGACGCAATGGGAGCCCTCCGGTGGTGAGGAATGAACTCAACCCTAGATAAGAATCAATCGTTGCGGATTGAGTAGGAGGTATCAATCCATTTGAAAGATACAAATTGAATTGAAACTTTCCACCATGGCAATATATCCATCTATCAAATCTAACGGTTCAAATTGATGATATTGCTCAGACTGAGTTGAAATACTGACACAATCCAGCTTGAATGCTTATCTAATCCCCACCTAGAGCTGGTGAGCCACCAGAGTTCACCCCCCTGCAACATTTAATGTCGGCGCATCATCTATTATTTTCTCACTTTGTCTGAACATCTTCACCCATAAACATTTTATGTATAGCGAAGCAAAACAATGGCGAGGCTATCAGGACTTCAAAGAGATGTTCTCGCGCTTTACAGAAAGTGCTTGAGAGAAAGTAGAAAGAAGCCGGCTGTAAGTAGGATTTCCTAGAAGAAATTGAAAACAAGTTGTTGATCAGATGAAGGAGGCAAGAAAGCATTTTGAAGCATATGCGAGGTACGTTGATGGTTCATGCCTTCCTTGTGCGAATATTGCTAATTTTTCTGGTACTTCCAGGCTGGAGTTCAAAAAGAGTATAACTTTAGACAAGAAGGATTTCAATACGATTGAGTACCTTCTGCGGAAAGGTCAGCGACAGGTTGACATGTATTCTTCGCCTGGTATCAAAGATATTCGATGAGCAAAACCACATGGACAATGAGGATGTCTTGCTTTGGAAGCCGGCAGATCGGGGATGAAGCTTTGGCTGGAAAGGGCAGGCGCATTGCATATCGATGAGATTCTTTAATTACTCAGTTCCATCAATCTCGAAACCTCACATTTCCTAAAATATGCATTCTTCACGAATTTATCCTTATAGCCAATAATGGTCAATTTCAAAATACATTGGAAGGGCTGTCCTCATCGAACGTTCCCACGAATAGATAATACCTCGAATCGTCCTCAACCCAATTTCACTCGTTGTACTTCACACGCCAATAAAGGTACCTGTGAAATACACAATTGTCGGGCGCTAGAGCAGGCTCGAAGAAAAGAAAGGATTGAGGCTCGTAATCGAAGATCGAGAAGTTTAAAGACTTCTATTGTTACTCGCTCCCAGCGACGTGCTTCGAAGCAAGTTAGACGAGAAGTTTTTGGATGGGAATCATCAAGTGCGAAAATTACTAGGCAGGACCAGGAGAGTGATACTGTACTTCCACTTGTCGAAAGTGCCGTTGAATCAAGTCCAACTTATCACCCTGATAAAACTACCGACGAAACTCTTATCCATTCTGTAGACGGTGCTGGTTGTTCAACTTTCAATAAAATCAAAGCTTCCATTACGAACAAGAATATCATATCTCAAACTGGAACTCGAAACAACTCTACACAATTGACTGGTCTTGATCAGATTCGACGCTATCAAGCCAATCCTGGAAATTCTGCACCACAAGAGAGTTGCACTAACAATACCAGGAGCTTGTATAGGAAGTATAATCCATCCACACGTACTAGTTTTGTCTCTCCAGCTAGAAGTAAAGCTTTCTTGGCTGCATCTACACTCGCGAGTCTTTACGAAGAACAAGGTTCTAATCATCAGAACGTTATTCAGTCGTCAGGAGTATCTATATCAGGCGATCCTTCCAAGAAAGATATATCGAGAAATAATACAGCATTAATTGGAGCATCTAGGCTTGCAACCCTTGCTCAAGGGAAATCTTTCTCTTCCTCTGTTCATTCTATTGTGCAGAGTATTGCATCCCATCCTTCTTCTCGTAGTCCCAGTCAAAGGCGAGCGTTGAAACGCTTCACCCGCGATCTTGAATTGTATCTTCAAATCGCTAAGCAGGTCCCTAAACAAACGCCCATTTCATCTGGCCCATCAACTAGCTTTTCCACGCAAACTATACAGACTATCCAAGAATTCAAACCGTATCACGCCGAATTTCAAGCTGCTGGGTTGGCGGTGACATCATCGGAACAACGAAACAAGTCAGTTCAAGGCGTTCAATCATACGGGCGCAGAAATACTTCCCCGAAAGTCCAGTCCCTGCTCTCTGATCACAGAAGCCCTGTGATAGCAGACTTTAAAACCGAACGGAGAAGCCCTCTTCTTGCTATCGAAGAGCCACTACAAGACAGTCTACCAGCAAACGAAATGGGAATAAAGGGTTCAAACGTATTGACCAAAAAATCGATACCTGATCGTGCGAAAGCACAAAAAGAGTTGTCGACAATGAGTGTTGCGTCAGAGGAAACCGTCATTGAGTGGACACCGGCATATGAGCGGGTGGATACAGCCAACCAAATAGAGTCTCAACCATGTTGCGATTTAGCACCCCCTAGACCAGCGTCACCTGCAAAGTCAAATCGCCCGGACTCTGCTATCTCACCTCAACATGGGACCCCTCCCGCCAAGAGGTCTCTACCTTGGCTTCGTAAGCCCTCAGTCACAGCTGAGCCTGCTTCTGAATCCGACACTGCTATAAGAGATAGCAGATTGAGCAAGTTGGCTGGAGACGCTGCTGCATCGCCCCCATACTCGGAGTTTACGAGTCAGCCTGACTCACAATCTTCTTCTATAGTATTGCATCTCGATACTCCTCCAGAGCACAAACATTGTGTTCCAGATCAGATTCCGAGGGCCTCTACTAGTACCATGTCCTCTGCATCTCCCATGCCACCAACTACGACCCCCTATGCGCAGTCATTTGTCGGCCCTGGCGAAGGTGATAATATTGGGGTCGCAGATTTTGCCAACCCAGAACAACTTGCCAACCAAAGTCGTTCTATGCTTACCAATGGGGAAATTATAGCACAAAAGGATCCACCTCCGCTGAAAACCCATGCCACTCAAACAAGTGCTGCTCCATCATTCATTACCCGAGCTCCACATTTCACTACTCAAATTCCTGTTACTGTTCAAAGCCAGCAACGTCGAGGTCTTATTCTCAAATCGTCTCTGATCAACCAAACACAAAGACGACAGTTACCCCAAGTAACAAAAACTGCTGGCACTGATCTTGCATCTTTACATCAAATTTCGCGCGCTGCTTCTACTTTGGCATTCCCTCATGCTCCTTCATCCCCAGTTCACTGTACCCAGTGTAATGTAGTATTGAATACCAACTCTGACTCAAAACTACGTTCAAATACGGGATCTGCTCCGGGGCCATCCCTTGGGGTTGATGCAAATTCAAAGAGGAAGAATATGCGAATATGTGAGAGTCCCGAGACAATACATTGTGAAGGGTGTAGTCTACCTGTGGCCAATTCAGATAAGAATATTAAAACGACTGCAAGTCAATATCCCAGGCAGCACGTAGAACGAGATTTCCCTTTACATGAATATGACGATACGAGAACCATGGGTATTGGTTCTAAGGGGAAGCAAAGAGAACCAGATGTATCGGCGGATGAAGGATACTTTGTTCGCCAATCGAATGTTCGTAAAAGTGGAGGAAAACTGACATCTGTCTCGGAACAAACACCAACGCCACTCCCTGACCCGACTACAAGAAAGTCGACAGCAGATCAAGTATCGCCATCACAAGCAAGCGCTACCTCTATACCAATGCCCATTCAAGCTGGTCAGTCAAGTCAATCAACAAGGCCTAGCTACGTACAAGGCCAAGTACTTTCTTATGCAAGGTTACCTGACATTCCTGTATTGTTAGAAATCAGTCCCAAGCTATCAGTGTCTGAATCTGTAGGGGATTTACAGAATCAACTCTCCTCGTTAGAAAAACATACCAAGCAGGAAAAAGATACAAAGAAATTGTTCAAGGGATTGAGGGTTGCTACTGCAGCAGCTTGTGAAGAGGGAGTCGATAAGTTCATTGAAGAAATTACAGGTTACAAGGTTCGAAAATTGCTTACGGATATCAGTGCCTTGGATGGACTTGGTGTGAATACATTGGCGCATGTTGCGAGACAGACGGCTCAGAAAAGAAGAGGAGATCTTAGGAGGTTGCAGATGACTCAGATCACCAAAGAAGAGGCTAGAGAAAGAAATTTTGAAAGAGGGCTTGGATTTGGTGACGGTGACGGTGATAGTGAATCGTGGAAAAATAGCTCAGAGGAGGTGGCTAGAATGAGGAGAAAGGGGCAGGGAAGAGGAAAGTTACCAAGAAGTCAATCTGGAGAGTTCAGGCGTAAGCAAAATAGTAGTTTGGAAAGGGAAAGACCTTCTAGGGATAGAGCATTAGGATTGGTGGCGGGAGATCAAGGAGTTAGGCTAAGGGAAGAGGCGGAAGCTGCTTTTGATGAAGTTAGTGCGAGAGAAGATTAGTAGTGAAGCTTCAACGGCTGAGTGGTCTGCTGTATTGTAGGTGCTCTACCTATGTATACCTATGGAATGGACACACGGTATGAATTATGCGACTGAATCTCACGCGTATCATGAACTACCTACTGCAGAATCAAGTTATAGTGACGAGTTGATATCAGCTTGAGGTTTTGAGTTCGTAGAAAAAATGGGGAGCTAATCATTAGAGGTGTAAAGAACGATTGAAGACTTCATAAGTGTTGTTAGACGAATAGATTAAGAGTACAACAGGAAATCGAATGACTGGATCAAAATGCCCAGGTAGTTGTCAAAGAACTCACATAAGCGCCTTTGTAAGATTACTTCCCTTGAACACAGCTTGTTTGACGCGCTAGCTAATTGTAATATATGGAGTATTGGCATACTAATCATTGTTATTATTCTACTGTGATCGGGTAAAAACTTGATATATCCTAGATTCTAGTTGCAAATGTTGTGAGAAAATTTCCACGACTGTGAGATGAGAATTCCTGGATCATCGAGCCTGAGAGGAATATATATATCTTCTCAATTTGTAAAGTTTGTGATAGATATCTATAGGAAAGAAATGGGGGTTAGTGTTTGTAGTGATTAGGAGCGTCGTCGCATGTTGGGAATTTTTTGTTCGTGAATAGTGTCAGACTCTATTTCCTGCATGTGAATCAAGTATTGACAGTTGGTATCCTTCCTTCCTGGCTTCGTAAGCTGAGATCCAAAGCACTGAGAATATCTGCCAGAAATCTTGCTCCTAGTGGTTATAGCATTGCTAAAAGAATTGAACTTGTAAACTCTCAGAGAGAAAATCGCAATTTGGACAAGGGAAGAAGGAAGTCGCGGAATTTATCCGGCCCGGCGTTGAATACTCATAGAACCGTATCTATTGGCGACGCAATTGAGCGATGAGCTGAGATTACAACGTTTAGGATTAAGCACCCTTTGGTCCTAATTACAACAAACTTTTGTTGGTTGGAATAGAGTGCTTAATCATTAGTAATTTCGGGACGTTATCGTAACTTTGTGAGTCTTCCGTTGAAAGAGCGCCAAATTGATTATTCGTATTTGTTGTAAGATTTAATTATTCATCACCGCCATGATTCTCGACTAGGAGGTATCATGACTCGAAAAATGGGGGTTATTATGATGCTTTGACATTTAGACATTGAAATTCCATCTCTCGATAAAACGAATTGCGAAGACAATCAGCTCGCACTTGCGATGTTGATGAGAATCCAACTGTAGATATAAGTTGTCCAATACCGATCTCAAATGCAGTAACCTTATTAAGCGCTGAAATTGTAGATATACAGAGTAGAAGAGCTGTGGGAGGTAAGCAGATGAGCTGTCAAATGAGCGTGAATAGGTAATGAATGGCATGCTAAGACAGCTTTAAGAACCATCAAGCCTTCCTAAGTGAGGTCCTAAGCATCTTCTCGCTTCTTTCGCGCCGCCCCTTCATTTCAATTGCGAGTCCAGTGAACAACCGATGCGATTCAAGTGCGGTATATAAACAAATTCCCAAACTCGTATTTCAAACACTCCTGTCAAAATCCCCCTTTGCCAAGAAGCAAAAGAAGAAAAAGAATTCCCGATCATCAGATATTGGATAAGCTTAATTTTCAGCAGCAGAAACTCGATTGCTCTCGAGTACTCCGTAAAACTCAGGGTGTTCACGGTCACTTTTCGGACGAGACTTGGGGAACTCAAATCGAGCTCAGGCCGAATCTTGTTACCGGAGTGAAACCGTTTTGCGCACAGTTGTCACTTGTCACCCTGAACCTGAAGAGATAAAGAGGCTGTAAGGAGTGGCTCAGGGAGGTCCACCCTTATCAGGTTTCCACCGCGTGATATCGTATTGTTGACGGATTTTGAAAAGCCCCCGAGACATACCGAGGACTAATTGGTACGGTTAGCGAGGTCATGTGGGATGATGGAAATGCTGAGAACAAAATTGATTGATACGAGAGCGGATACTTCTCGTTTTTGCGATTGAATATTGGTTGCTGGCTAAGAAAGGAAAGGGATGCGATGGTTGGCCTGCCAGGACCGAACGATGAAGAGCAACAGGTAACCGTGGGCACTTCAACCAACATGTGTACCTTGGCATATTGCTCTCGCTGTTGAAAGAGAATGATACAATAGTCCACTATAATCATGATGATGGGCTGTAGATCAATAGCGCTCAGTGGGAATAGCGAAAGAAAAATCTGGCAGACAACCAACATTTTAAAGTTTAGCACAATTTATGTCAGTATCGTCAACAGTTTACGTCTTATAACACGAAAGCCATTCGAAAATGGAGTCTTAAATACAGAAAGAAGCGTAACACCGCTCTATCGTGCATATGATATATATGAATGTGGGATACAAATATATTGTATTGTCCGTAGAACGGTAGGACAGAAGATAGTCGTTGTCTTTCAATCCAATTCTCGGTACCGATGATGATTCGTATCGTAGAGGGATCCAAATTACGGCAAGTACGGCAGTGAACAATGACCAAGACATTATTGACCCAATTTTCGATTTATCTTTCTCTCCTTCTCTCCTTCTCTCCTTCTCTCCTTCTCTCCTTCTCTCCTTCTCTCCTTCTCTCCATCTATCTCTCTCGCTCGCTCTGTGAAAAAAAGAGGTGGCACAGCCAGGACCAATTCTTCCAATTCCAAAAATAATTTAATTTTTTTCTTTCCCCTTTCTAGCTTCTTTGCAGTACCGTATGATGTGCTCAGCCGCCGTCGTTAAGCCTTTGACTACCAATATCTAGGTAGACAGTAATACGAACTAAGTCAATCTGGACATACCGGACTAATTAAATCCGCTGTGTTCCTGAGATCCTTCTTTATAGATACTACTATATCGTACTTCTTTAGATCTCCACTAGGAACTACCTTGGCTCTAGGGTCTAGTGGATCACATCAAAATCTGCAGCCCAACTTCCAAGAAGTCGTGGCATTTTGCTAGAAACCATAAAACCGACCTTCTGTTTCACTAGACGGCCACCAGAAAGCATAACGAATGCTGAGTGGCTGAACAAGCCAAGCTAAAACACATTGCTTGAAGGGTCTTTAGTCATCTAATCTTCCCACAGGATCAAACCAAATATCATTTCGTATGCTTTAGAAATGGGATGGAGTATGCATACCAACCGGTACTAGGCACTCTCCACCTTGACTGTTAGTTCATTATCTCAACTGCCCGTGACACGAGAAACAAAGTCAATAAATATATGGATCCCATATGGAAACAATATCGTAATTCTGAAGAGAGAAAAAAAAGCGCCACTTTTTCTGGAGCAACAAAACACGAAGGGGAATAACATAACGTACGTGCTCATCCGTCGCCCCATCATTGATACGGTCGATCATGTATCCCTAGGTATCGCCAGTGTTTTCATTTGACATTGTGAGGAGGAACTCCGTACCTGCATCATCATCAACAAATAAAGCAGCACACCCCCCACAATAAGTAATCCACCCTCCATTTAAATCAATTTAGCACTTTACGATGCATCTTAAAATGGATTTGGTGTCTCTCCCAAGGCGACGCATACGATAATGTTATTTACTTGCCCTGAATGATTTAGTTCGGAATGACATGGCATTAGCCTCCCTAACGCCTCCCCTGCCTCCTTTCATGACAATGCTAAAAACTCTCGCTTAACCAATCAGAAGAAGGAAGGAACTTCTGATACAAGGTTTGTTTGACCACGCCCCCGCCCCTCGTTTGCTTACAGCGACAAGGCTGTGTTCGGAATTCGAGTTTGACACCATGGACCATTGACCATGACCAGCCCACACGAGCGTGTGGGAGAGGAAGAAGTGTAAAAATGCAGGAAAAGGAATTTATTGAAATAGATCACATCCCCAAGATTAGTTTGTGTTTCCTGCCCGCCTTGTACCTCGTCCCCATATTATCTTGTGAATACTTCTTGATCTCACATCCCCTCCTCCCAAAGAATTTTCTGGAAATTCCTCTCCACATCTTGGCATCGAGTTGATTCTCTATATTTCATCATCCTTCTTCCTGAAAAGTGGTTCTTCATATCGAACGGTTCATCTTTCGTTTGGACGCTCGCTTTCATATATCTCGACTCCCTCACATTCGCTTTGCGTCTTTACATCGTTTCGTACTTGAAGTCCGGTACTTGTACACTTGTACTCTAATCAGCTTTTATCCTCACACATCACACACATATCACACATTTCAAAATGCGTTCCTCAACAATATCAGCCTCTGCTGTGGTTCTCCTTTCAGGACTCGCCAGTGCACAAACATTCACTGATTGCAACCCAACCACAAAGTGTAAGTTGGATGACGACGCATGACTTGCAACTAAAACTAACACATACACAGCATGTCCTGCAGACCCAGCCATTGGAGGCCTTCAAGTGACCGACTTTACCGCTGGAAAGAGTAGCAACTGGGAAGTCGAAGAAGGAACCACCATGACATATGACGGCACCCTCGGTGCCCAATTCGTCATCAGCACCGCAACCAATGCACCTACCATCAAAAACATTGGATACATCATGTTTGGCCGTATCGAAACATGGGTGAGAGCATCCGCCGGAACAGGTATCGTCAGTAGTTTTATTCTCGAATCCGACGATCTCGACGAGATCGATTGGGAATGGCTCGGATCCAACAACGCCGCAGCGGAGAACAATTTTTTCGGAAAGGGAAACACAACAACCTATGACCGTGCCCAATACCCAGCCGTCGCAACCCCCATCGACACCTTCCACAACTACACCATCGACTGGACCGCCGAGTCCACCGTCTGGTACATCGACGGCGTCGCCGTGCGCACGCTCCTCTACAACGACGCGCAAACCCTCGGCGGAAAAAACTACCCCCAAACCCCCATGTTAGTCAAGATGGGAAGCTGGATCGGCTGTGCCAGCGAAGCCGCCGTAACCGATCCCGCCACCGCAGGAACCTGTTCCTGGGCCGGCGGAGCCGTCGATCTCACAAAAGGTCCTTTCACCATGTACGTTAAGAACGTCACGATTCAAGACTATGGATGTGCCACCGAATACACCTACGGTGATATGACCGGTGATTACAAATCCATCAAAACTACCGGTGGATGCAGCGCAAACGGATTATCCTCGTTAGCATCTTCATCAGGAAGCTCATCCTCATCTTCCTCTGCATCAGGAAGCTCCTCATCCACCGCCACCAAATCCTCAAGCGGCAGCTCATCCCTCAGCACCGTAACCGGTACCTCGAGTGGTATTGCCGTCGGCACCGCAACCGGTACCGCGACTCTTTCCGCTGGTGTAAAAGCCACCGCGGCCGCCGTCTCAGGAAGCACAACTGGTTCTTCCACACTCGCCCAAGTAACCACTACTTCCGATGCCAACTCGCTCAAGAAACCCAAGCATGAATACGGTATGCTTGATCTTGGGGTTATGGTTTTGGGTCTCGGATTGGGTTATCTTGTTATGTGATGAGATGATTCTTTCCGAGTGGATGAGTGCGAAAGGAAGAGAAGTGTACAGTACGAATTAGATGTATGATTCTCCTCCTGATATATTATTAGGCGTGAATGGATTTTGTTTCTTGCGGGGCAGGCGATGTTATTTTATCACTTTCAGCATGCATGCATGTATAGGTTATGATGGACAGTTTTCTGTCGATGATGATATACCCACATGAAGATTTTGGGGGATGTTTGATGTTCAGTTCAGCATGGTTTAGAGAAGAAAAGATAGATGAGTGAAAGAAGTTTAGCATAGTATTGCATTGCATATGGACATTGCATCATGGAAGAATGGATGGATGGGAGTTATTTGACACAAGGATTTATACCATTCAGCGTGCGTTTACGTTTGTTTATTTACTTATTGGATGCATTATATTGCAGTTTAATGATTGATCGATTGATAGAGGAGAGGAATAAAAGATTCATGAATTTATAGACAAACATCTATTCTATTATGCATACGTTTTTATTGAAATACTTGATGTAATATTCTAACGCTGAAACAATATTATTCTTATAACTCATTTATGCTAGCAATAAGTATGCTATATTCAGATTACGAAAGAAATAACGAATAGAGATTGGATTCATCAACATCTCACTCCATCTCATCAAATCCGACACGATCCTTCGTAATTCTAAATCTCAAATCTCATCCCACCTCATCTCATTTCAAATCCCTCCAGCCACAAATCCCATCCTTCCAAGTCCTTCCAAGTTCTAATCCAAGAGTTGCTCGCCGTCGAGCAACCCCCTCATTTTAAGCTCCCCCATAATCTAATGCACTAAATCATCACATTACATCTCATCCAACCACCTCTCTATCCCTCTTTCTATTCACCATCTCCAACCTATCCCCGTCCTCATCCGAATTTCGCGTTTTCTCTCCCTACCTATCCCTAACGTCCCCCCCTCATTCACCATCCCCTATCCATCATCCATCAAAACCCACCCATCCCCCATTCAAACTAAAACCCACTAAACTACTTCCACCAAACCATTTCCACTTCCAAACCCCCACCCACAAACGCCTGCAAATCTAACCAAATCCTCACATCACACAGTGATAAAAGTATGATTACCAACCTACATCCCGCACTATCCCCCATCCGTCTAACTTCCCCAAACAACACAATCAACCTAATCGAACGTCGTATACAAACCGCGCGTTCTCAACATCTAGTACTTACCTCATACTTACTACCTCCTCCCGACAATTAAAAAATCTCGTCCTAATATCCCTAACTCTCTCCTCTCTACTAATCTATTCCCTTATCCTCCCTGTAAAGACATATACAGCATGTATCCCGTCCCTGCTTCCCATCCACATCACCCAAAAGAATAGCCAGGCATAAACCCCATTCTCACTATGATCACATCAAAAACCTCATGTGAATCTAAAATTTGGTATCATTATATACGTCATCTACTTATCAAGTTGGGTGTAATATCATACGAGAAGCCTGGTACTTTACTGGTCCAGCCATTATCTTCCTCCTCCACCCCTAAAGTTCACCAGGCTACACCAATTGTTCTCTTCTTTCCCATCCCATTCCATCCCATCCAACTGCCCCGAAAGTCATCCTTGAGACCTTTCGGGTACCCAGTCTGCCATCATCCAATGATATATATTCATCCATTCATCCTTCCCACGTAACTCCCATCATAAATATTTTACCCCCCTTCCCCATCCATCCATCAAACTCTCTAGTCTAAAGTCACTGCCAACTCCTGATTCCCAATTTTCGCAAAAGCCAAACCCTCGCACGCTAAAATTAGATACGATCAAATGAAATGTCTTGAATCATGCTTAAAAAGAAAAACGTTCAAAAGTAGAAAAAAAGTTGGCATTGAGACCAGACCAATATTTGGATCCAATACAAAATATAATATAGAAAAAAAAGTATGGGTATAACCTCCTCGCCTTCCTCTGATATGCCAATCGAACTGGTTCGATGCTCGTGTGGTTGTGAAGTGATAATGGTATGTAGAAGATGACATTGTTCATTTCCTTGGGGCCGCTCGCGTGGATGCAAGGTAATATACAAAAAGTCAAAAGGGTATTGAAAATTTGCTTGCTAATGCTGCACCTGAAAAATTCGAAGACGAAATCAGTATCGTCGTTATTATGATTACAGTCGTGTTTTATGTATGTTCTTGTTGATGATTATAGATACGTCCAAGGCACCTGTACGAAGTCGTGTATAGTTCGTTGATTCAATCAACGATATCTGTCTAATCGAAGAATGATTCTTCGTCGACTAAACCTATAACCCTTTCGTCAACATATGTTATCGGTAGAGATTAAAATAATTCCTTACGAGGATCATTCTCTTTCAATCTATTGGTAGATTTCTTCTGTCCCAACCCCATGCCCATATTGAACATGCTACTTTCTCTCCTCTTCGATTTAGAGGCCCCGTATTGCTGGTCATGGGAAGAAGCTCCTAGTGTATTGCCTCGACTACCATACTCAGGACCAGTCATTGCGTTAAACCCAGCAAACCCTGGGCCTTGCTGACCAAAAGATTGCTGGTTGAAGGATGGTGTTGGGAGATCCTGCTGAAACTTTTGGCGTCGAGGAGAGCGGATATCTTCCGGAGACAGAGCGGGAGCGGTGACTGTTACCTCCACAGGTCGACGTTCCTGGTCGTTGGGATCATTTTCGAAGATACCATCATATTGTTGCAAGAAAAGCGCAAAAACGGGAGCTGGAATATTGAGAGTTGGCGAGAAGACAATCCCAACATTTCGCACAGTCATCTTATTTACATCTGAATGATTGATGATATTAATAAGGAAACCGGCCAGATATCTGAGCAGAATGTTATTTGCTCGTGGTAGCCTGTGGACCAAACCATTGAGAGCGCTGATCTTCTCGTTCACGTCGTGAAGCTCTGTGACTGCAATAAACTCGAGATGAAGTTCACGGGTCAATATGGTGGTTGGCAACTCTCTCAAGTATAGCTTCAATAGAGAGGCAACAGCATGAATGTCATAGTACTGATCGTCAGTAACTAGGTTCACATCTCCCTCGACATTAAAGCGTTCCCGAAGTTGTCTGATGACAACGTTGGATCCGCTCAATCTGAAAATTCCTTCCTCGCCTGCAGCATTCTTTGCATCTAAGTATTCAATGCATCGATAAATGACTGCTGGAAGCTCAACTTGAACATCAGCTGGATGATTGTATCTTACAGCTTCAGTTAATGGAGTTCCAAAAACTGGTCTAATTGGACCATGCTGATCGTAGGCCATCTGTGACAAATTATGATTTGACATGTTGATCGGTAAGTCTGGTAAATCTACCGATGGTCTTGGTTTTGAGCCAAATCCGAAAAAGCTACGCTTCTTCTGTTTGATTTTTTCGTCTGGGAGCGATGACCCCAGTTTATTTCCCCATGAACCAGCATCCTGAATAGGGTGGGCGTTCTTTGGAGCTGAAATAGATTTCATGGATTGAGATTGTGGGAATGACATGGCATCTCTGTCGTGTCCATGACTTGGGGGCGACGGTGTGTCTGAATTCTTCAATTTCGAGCCGTGTGGTGCAGCGCCTTGCTTTGCCATATCGTAGCCAATAGCACGCAGATCATTGTTCTCGCCCAGCTTCCCTTGAGAGCTCCCCTTTCTCCTTCCATGGGGATGAGAGTTACTTGAGCCAGAGCGAGCATGACTTGGGCGACGATGCTCATCCTCATCTTTGTAGTCAACGTATCTAAGAAGAGCCTCGACCCATTCATCGCGTTCCTTATCGCTCTCAGCACACAAAACATGTCTCATAAGGCTAGAAGAATCTTTTCTCTTCGGCTCCAAAATCAAAAATGCATGTCGATATTGATTGTCAACATCATCACCCTCCCCTCGGGAAGATGGTGGGGCATCAGTCTGCTGAGATTGTTTTCCAATTTGAGCACCTTGAAGTTTGATGGTTCCTAGATGTGGTCCGCCAGGCGACTCGTAATATTTGAACACTGGGCCGTCCAACACAAAGAATCGTGCTTTCCAACCTCCAAAGTTTTTGCCTTTCTTGGTCAAGTAGCCATTCTTTAAAGGTCTGCCACCTGGCCCAGTCTTCACAGGACTTTCGGAACCCGTATCACTACTTGGCGTCAGGTCATCCGCGTGTGGCTCCATTGTATTTGAGGACAAGTATCGACAGATCTCCAACGCAGAATTAGTATCCAGCTCCGTATTGAGGAGCTCATCAAGATAATGATCTAGTGCCGCACGTCTAGCATCTATCTTAGCTGGAGAATGGCCACTGAAGAGATATTTATCCGGCGTTCTGGCTGTAAATGTAAGGCACTGTTTCAAGATTTGGTCTAAATGCACCAATGACGCCGAATCTTTCTCAACTCTCCATAGTTCCTTGCCATCCGATCGTGCGAATACTGCAAGAGTGAAAACAGGATCAGTCTCTAGATTGGCTGGAAACATCAGACTAGCTCTTGAAGGCTTTAAACGTGACGAAGCCACCTTCACATCTATTGAAGGTAAAGCATTTGGGGGAAGAAGCAGATCTGGGTATTCCTCGGTAACAAGTCCTTTATAAATCACGTTTCCGGAGTGACTGGAAGACGGAGAGTCACTTGGTCGCCTCCCTGGAACACTTTCGTTGACTAGAGTTTCCTCGGATCTCTTAGTGATTACCAGTGGTTGCGGGGAGACAAGAACTAAAGGTTCCGCACGGGGTGCATGAGGGGAAGAAATTGACATTGGAGTACCGGGAGGAAGGGGAATTGGCTGTCGTGGAGCTCGTGGTGACAATGGTATGGCAGCTGGGAAAGCACCCATTCCTCGAGGAGACAATGGAGGTGAAGCCATCGATGACTGAGATGAGTTGTGCCTTGAGGACATACCCATTGGTCTTGGGCTTTGTGGTAAACCAGGACTCATCATTGGAGGAGACATCATCCCTGTCTTTGGAGGAGGTGATCTTGATGCACTCAACATACCCGCCAAGGAACCAGTACTCTCATCTGGTGGTGAAAGAGCCCGCAAATGAGCATCCGGCGGTGAGATTGGAACGGTTTGTCGCGGGCTTAGAGGCATTGCTGGTATCACTTCCTTTGGTGTGGTTGATGCCGATTTCGAAGTTCCTTTAACGCTACCCTTTGAACTTTTCTTCGAAAGGCTCCTCGCCTCAGCATCTCGTGCCGCTGCAATCTCTCGCACTCTATCATCCTCTTCTCTTGTCTTCCGTCGACCTCTATCAGGGAACGATGGGATCTCGTCAACCTCCAATATATCATCATAGTCAGAATCAGACTCTTCTTTCGTCTCCGAAGCCTGTCGTAAATGCGTACTCGGCCCAGTCTTTTTGCCAAGATTGAGTGGCGCCGGTGGAGCTTTCCTCGGCGGTGGAAATTTGGGAGATCCACGATCGACCTTTGGCAATGATTCCATGACCGCCATCGAAGGGCCTTGTGATGACATAGGCGGAGGGAGCGGTGCCGTCGGTGGTGGTCCCCGTGGAGAATCCAAAGGTAGATTCCGTGAAGGTGGCACGGTTGCATTATATGGCATGTCACTGGACACCGCTTGGTTCTTCCTTTGAAGTTGAGATGCCTCAAATCCCAAGGGTGGAGAATCAGGATTGTATTGTTGAAAAGCGTGCTTAGTAGGCGAGGGCATCTTCTCCTCGGGATCCACCATGTTAGATAGTCCCGGCGTTGCTGGTGCTGGAGGGGTAATTGGATACGGCGCTAAGGCACAATCCATGGGCGAATGTTGCGCTGGAGATCCATTCTTTGACCCATCGGAGTTCAAATGTCCGTCGATACTTTTCTGGACTGAGATCTCAGCGATCCTTGATTCTGAAGTCATCTCCCCCGACTCCGAAGTTGGACCTTGTGTCGAATCTACAGGTGATGGATTCGCATTCTGTGTGAGATTCTCCTTCAGCTTTTTCCTGTACCGCTCCTTGTCCTTTAGGGCTCGCTCAAGGTCCTTGTTTAAGCCCAAAATCATAGCCCTCTGTTTATCTACCAAACGCCATAATTGTGAATTCTGTGCGGTTTGTGATTGCTTTTCTTTGATTAAGTATTGTATAGCGGCCTCCGGTGATCCCGCTGCTTGAATGAGTTGTGCAACGTCAAATTGTGGACTCAAGCTTTTAGAGTCCAGCGAGTTTTTGTATGAATGTCCGCTGCTTGATATCGAGGAGATGGCAGAATCAATTGAAGAAGTTCGAGGTGGTTGTCGACCCATTTCGATACGATGTGCAGGTGTCGTTGATGCCATCGCAGGTGGTTTATCGGTAGGTGAGGTTGAACCTACGTTTGCCAGGATAGGAGTTGAGACGCTTCGTATCGGGGCATTCGAAGTCGTTTCCTGCAGTGGTCGGCCGTACCTATTAGGAGTGAGTTAATTGATCAGACAAATGAAGCTAAGAAGTACCTCAAATTGGCTGGTATCTGCGGTGGTTTGGCAGTATGTTCAGAAGTATAGAAGTTCTTCTCCGTCGCTAATAAATCATCAAGGCGCTCTTTTGGCGATCGAGGCTCCTGCAGAGAACTCTGGCTTGCTTTCGTACTTATGAAAGGATATTGATCGCTAGAACCTTTCACAGAAAATGTGGTTCTTGTCGGAGTGACACTGCTCGAAGGTGATGTAGGAGTGGTACTGGTTTGTAACGGACTAGGAACAGCCTTGCGCAGGGAACTAGAACAAGTATGTGAGTGCCCGTCACGAGAAGTGGCTCAATATCGGAGGGAAGTGTATGTAGCTTACCTATTGCGCGTTTCCAAGACAGGCGAAGCGTTATTTGGTAAGTGAGAAAGGTGAGTGCGACCAGTTGTGGGGCTTTCTTGTGGCAGATGATGAAGCTGCGTATCAGAAGGCCTTTCGCCCATCTCTTGCGAGAGCTGTGACATCGCCAGGTACGCTCGTCGGCTGCTGACACTCCTCAAGCTCGCTATGCATTCACACGCCCAACTGTTTTGGAGTCGGAAATCCGAATTGAGCAGTAATTGGTCGCAGAGGTTTAGGACAAGGAAGAAGAGTGGCGCCTGTCGCTATCAGAGTTTCGAAATGATTTGAGCGAGCCGATTGACGTCGCACATTTAGTAGAAACCGTTCAAAGCAATGGAATGGTGTACAAATAGGAAACTTGAGACCAGGGTGATGATGTATCGAGTTGGGTCCGGGCGCGCGGGAGATATTTCTATTAGAGGATTTAACAAATACGTATTGACCTATTGACCTATTGGCCTATTGATGTCCTTTTGGGATTATATGGCAATTTGCGAATTGGTGAATGGTGAGCTGTAAGTGGTAGATGAGATTGACGAAGTGGATGATGTCGATATTGGGTATCTAGATAGGTAGAGAGGTATGTACAGAAAGAAATGGTAGGAAGGAATACGACATTAGAAAATTAAATCCATATAGAAGTTATTAGTTGCATTCATTCATTTTCGTCGTTGACATTCATATCAATCATATGACTCTTCACGTCAGCGAGATCCAGGCCAATGAGTAGAAAAAGAGATTAATGGCTATGATGTGATGAGATGGGAATAGTTTCTATGAATAGTAGATACAAATGTAGGCAGGTAAGTAGGTAGGTAGATGGATAGATGGATAGATGTAGATGGGTATAGGTGTAGGTGTAGATGTAATGTAGATGTATATACGATGTCGTATGCAAGGAGGCAAGGTAGAAAATACCGAGTAGATGACTGGATATTTATTAGGCGATGAAAAGTAAAGTTCCATCTGAGTCTTCTGATTGGAAGATACGCCAAATTGGTGGGTCTTGATCGTATATTTCCTTGACATTATTGATGCCTTAGGCTGTTGCCCATCATTCTAAGAGGTATGGATCATTACCTAGGTACCTACCTACCTATCTAGACGTATATAAAAGCTCTTCAACTTCATTCCATTCAGCTTATTTCAATTAACTTGAATCGAAAAAGAAAAAGAAAAGAAAAAGTAGGTAGCGAGGTCAGCGTATGAACAGAGTACATATAACCTTAGAATAAGCTGAGAGAGGCCTCTTATATTAGTATAATTAGTTTGAATTTGTTTTGTCTTTAGCTCTCTCTCTCTGTACCTGGACCTGGCAGTCTGGGCACCTGGGTAGTACTGAAGCTTATTTTGAAGTGAAGAATGAAGTTTGAATGGCTCAAGTGGCTCACATGGCTTTTGAATGGTTGATTCGTTTTGAATGGATTCGAAGATTCTATGAACCTATATTGTTATGAAAAGTAGTACTATATGTTATATTGCCTATAGACTAGCTAATTTCTAGTAACGTAACGTATGGGGAACTCGGACATATGGGGAACTCGGACACTTTTAGCCCATCACCAACTTGAAACCGCAATAACTTTTATTATGCATACCCAATCACCTTCTACATCTGCTCAAATTGAAGAGAAGCTTCAAAAGGCTATAATTTCACTTCAATTGAAAGAATTTAAATCAATTAGAAAGGCTGCAGAGCATTTTGAAGTCCCTAAGTCTACCCTAGCTGATAGGCTGGCTGGGAAGAAAACACGTTCCCAAACCCACGAAATGGCTCAAATTCTTTCAAACGCAGAAGAAAATACTCTTGTACGATGGATTTCACGACTTAACATCACTGGATTCCCTGCTACACCTATGTTGGTGAAGGAAATGGCCGACGAAATTCGTCTTCGACGCGTTCGGGTCGCATCATCTCGAAATCCTACCTCGACAGAAATTCCACCTATAGGCCACGAATGGATCTATAGATTCCAAAAACGACATCCAGAACTTAAAACATACTATTCATGTCAATTAGAGTCTAATCGGACTAAAGAAGCAACTCCGGAGAATATTCAGGCTTGGTTTGACACGTTTCGCACGCGTCTCATTAAGCGAAAGTATGAATTAGATGATATGTATAATATGGATGAAACCGGATTTGGAGTTGGAAGTACTCAAAGTACGCGCATTATAGTCGATTCTACTCAGAAATCGAATTGGAAAGTTACAGCTGGCAAGCAAGAATGGATAACTGCATTTGAATGTGTCAATGCAGCTGGAAATGCTCTATCACCTATGGTCATTTTCAAGGCTCAGAATACGAATTCTGCATGGATTCCAAAGGACACACCTCAAAGCTGGCAGTTCTCTACTATTACAAATGGATGGACCTCAAATAGCCATGGATTAGAATGGTTAAAAAGGGTTTTCGAACCAGAATCCAAGAAAGTGTCAGGTGACCGACCTCGACTTTTGATCATGGATGGCCATTCAAGCCATATTACAGATAGCTTTATTGCTTTCTGTATAGATAATGATATTGATTTACTTATATTACCTCCTCATTGCTCTCACTTGCTTCAGCCACTTGATATTGCGGTGTATGGGCCAATGAAACGATATCATGCTTTAGAGGTCGATCGATATTCTCGAGCTGGTGTAAAGCGAATCCAAAGAGCTGAATGGGTAGAACTCTTTCAAAATATTAGAAAAAAAGCATTGAATTCTTCTAATATTAAAGCTGGCCGGAGAGGAGCTGGTTTAGTACCTTTTGCCCCACGAAAAGTACTCGATTCATTACCATTTAACTCCTCCCAGCAACCTTCTACTCCACAAATGAGAACCCCCAATCAAGACCTAGACTTGTCTATATTCAGGAGTTCTCCTTCAGATGGAACAGAACTAAGGCAAGCAAATCAGATCTTTAATACAGCTCTAGCAAGCAGTGGTTCTCCTGCATCGCCAACTCGTCGATATGCCAAGAGAATGACTAGGCTTGTAGAATCTCAAAATGCTGAGATAGCCCTACTTCGGAAACAGCTCTCTGATGCTCAGGAGGTAATTGAGACTCGAAAGAAAAGAACTAAAGGCAAAAGAGTCAAATTACAAGGTCAATTTGTCTTTAGTACTAAGGAAGTATTGAAAATGGTACGTGAGGCGGAGGAAAAACCGAAGGAGAAAAAGCCACGAGGACGGCCACGCAAACGCCCAATTGAAGAATCAGAAGAAGAGATTGAAGAAGAAGAGCTAGAGAATAGTTCAAGTGATTCGGAATTGGAATTGGAGGATTGTGTGGCTCGTAGAACAAGATCGCGTGTAGAATAATTGAAAAAGTGTCCGAGTTCCCCATATGTCCGAGTTCCCCATACGTTACGTTATCTAATATACAGTACCTAATCCTTAAATACCACCACTTTTGATACCATTACTCCGTAGACCCCAATTCCAATACCCCTTCATCAATTCGGCTATTGTCCACTGAGTACTGTAAGTCTATAGAAATGCTTTACCCGACTGCGACACAAACACCAAGTACTAATAATACACCTACTAAATACTCAACATCACCAATGCAATATACAAAGTGATCGAAGAAGAGTATCACTACTCACACTGTGAATCAAAAGCAACTCCAACTTCTCACTACCCCCCAAAATAATTTCTTCAATACTTAATAATATGCAATGCAGCAGGAGGAACTTGGTGCAGGTACCCAGTACATATCACAATACATGCACATGCAGGTCTTATCAACAGAAACCAATCCACTCTTGAATTCTCTGAACTGGGGGCCTGGCTTTACAGAAGGAAAGAATAGGTCAGGAAGATTGAATCTATTGAATTATTGAAACCTTATTTTTTTCTTCCCTTTCCAGATTATATGTACCAATTTCGCGTTTCGTTATTAATTAGTCGTCATATTGATATGACTGACATACATCACTTCATTACTCTCCCCCCTCTCTCTCCCTTTCCCCTCTCTCCCAAGTTCTAATTGTCCCTCCATCCCCTCCTCCATTTACCCCTCAGATCTTATCAAATCTCAAATAAACTCCAAGCCTCAAGTTCACAGCGTCTTCTGCAACCCGTGTCACCCCTTCCAAGCACAGACATACGGTCAGTCAGGCTGGGGGGGAATAAATCAGAAAACCTCCCTCTTCCCCATTTGTCAAAGAAGGATCTGAATAACAAAATAGTTTCACAAATTGAGTCATGATGATATACTCCGTAAAAAATATCACATTCGTATTTGGGAACGAGGGTCAATGCTTCGGTACTTGAGAGAGCCTGAGTTCTCACCTGGGTATTATCTACTCTGTAGATCAAAAATGACATATTCATTGATATGTTCGTTACTAAAAAGACATCCTGTCACCTAGCCGTGGATTCCGGAGACAAATTCATGCAAAGGAACTTCAATGATGATTATGCCTACACAATGCATTTATCCACGATAAATATCCTTTTCCCATATGGTAACAATGCTACCCACAGCGTCTGTAGATACGACTCCGAAACATGAGAAACAAACCCCAAGTTTTATTTTCCGCCACAAGGAAAGATCACTGACAATTTAGCCTCATGCTACTGGATGGAGTATTGTCAAAATGAAGTCAATAGTTCCTCAACACAGCGCGAATCTATAATAGCTCTTTAGAATTCTAACCCCCAAGTTCCAACACTTGGTATGTGTTCACACCCCCTTTACCAAAGCCAAAATCCATCGTTGAGATCTCTCGAATCAATCAACGTTGTGAATGTATTGATATGAGACCAGAATCCCATAGCCATCCCAAAATCCCTTTATCGCCAATTGATAGGCGACTTTACACTATCGAACCCCCAAGGCTTAAGTCTGGTAGGTAGTTAGTTGCATATAAAACCCAGTTCATCTGCACGCCTTCCTTCAATCCACCATAAAGTAGGGGTCTCGGGGGTATGATCGACGGACGGCAAGCCAAGCACAACCACCCCAGAGACACTGAAGTAATCTGAGCAAAAGCAGTGTGATTCACAAATTACTGGTAACGTGAACCAATTCGTCGATGCAAAAGGAGGGGATGGTGCCATGAATTACCTAGGTAGGTACGAGTAGAGAAAGTTAAAAACCTTTCCT